GATTTCGCTTACCAAACTTGTTAGTTGACTTACCATTCTTGTCATTTCGCTATGAAATGTGGAAATAATAATGACTTTTCATAAAACATAATGTTATCATAAACCCAATCGCAGGCTTGTCATTTTGCTTACCTAACTTGTGATTTGTCTTACCATTCTTGTCATTTTGATATGAAATATGGAAATAATGGCAACTTGTCATGAAATTTAATTTCATGAAAAACTCAATGACACACTTATTATTTCACTTAACACATTTGTCATTTGGCTATGTAATGTGGAAATAATGATAATTTCTTAGTAAGCTCATTTCATGAGAAACCTAATGACAACACTTGTTATTTCGCTTAACCACATTTCTACTAAAACTAAGGTTACTATGAATAGCTTTTCAATACTTGTCGTTTTTCATACTAAACTTGTCATTTCCTACACTTAACATGTCATTTGTAAATAAATTATGAAAATAATACCAATTTCTGTCAAAATTTAAGTTAATATGAATAGTTGTTTAACACTTGTTATTTCACATACTAGACTTATCATGTGCAAATAAATTGTTGAAATGCTGCCAATTTCTGCTAAGACTTAAGTTAACGTGATTAGTTTTTCAACATTTGTTATTTCCCATGCTAGACTTGTAATTTTCCATACTAGACTTGTCATTCGCAAATAAATTATGGAAATGCTACCAATTTTTGCTAAAACTTAAGTTAATATGAATAGTTTTTCAACATTTGTCATTTCTCATGCTAGACTTGTCATTTCTTGTACTAAACTTGTCATTCATAAATAAATTGTGGAAATAATGTCAATTTCTACTAAAACTTAAGTTGATATGAACACCTTTCTAATACTTGTTATTTCTCATACTAGACTTGTCATTTTTCATACTAGACTTGTCATTTGCAGTGATTTAACTGATGTAATTTCGTTGACTTATCTTTGTATCAGCAATGATTCTAATTCTTAGATATCATTTACTTTTTCATCGTGCATAATTACTTTATTTCTGCTATATACAATAGTAGTTTTTGATTTGAGTTGTGATGAGCCAGAAGTTGGTCTTTCAAGCATGAGTGGAGATTTTGTTCCATAAGTAATAGATATATACTATATTAGAATGAGATTATGGACTAAGGAAAGATTGTTCATAGAATCTTATCTTTATATGGTTTTCTCAAGTATTTTTTGATGTTTTGCAACACTTTTATCCTCACTATGCATGCATTTATAATTTTTTTTTTATTATATTGGTTCATGCATTGCATTTTGCTATTTAAGGGGTAAAAATGGTCAATTCTCCTTCCTTAATTATAATTGTCTTCATCTATAATTTGTTATCTTTACAAAGCTCCCTTGTTGTGATTTTCACGCAACTAAAGAAGGATCTAAGACCCAAGATAAAGCAATGATGGAGCCACAATATTACAAGGACCAAAACACAAGAGTTTGGAGTGTTCTGCCTCCCTTGGTCGCGACACGGATTGCTGAGGTCGTGATCTGGATGCTCTTTTAATGAAACTATGCGTTTTGGAATTAAGTCAAGACTGAATGCCCTCTGTCTTCCTAGGTCGCGACATGAAACTTTTGAGGTTTTGACCTGGACCCCCAAGTCATGACCTGACACTCTTGAGGTTGCGGCCTGAGTGTGTTAAGTGCAGCTGTGTGTTTTGGAATAGGTTTCTGAGTTTCTACACCTAAGAGGGCAGCCACCACGAAGACACACTTTCCCATTCTGCAGATTTGCATAGGGTTGAGCTACCATCATCTCCTCTCAAGTCTCTATTAATCCCACATCTAAAACCTTCATTTTTCTTATCTCTTCATTATTTTCTGTATTTCTGAACCGATTAAACCATTATAACTATCTTCTTCTCTATTTTTCCAACCCCATTTTTAGCATCACCCATGGCTGTTCATACCTGAAGCGATTGTGATCAGTTTGAAGACATGAGAGGCTAAACCCTTAGCCTCTCAGTGATAGAAAATAAAGCTTGAGCTCCAAGACTTAATAGGGGAGTTATCAGTCTAAATTTGTATTTGATTCTGTGTTAGAGATTTCTAGATTTAGGGATTTCTGCATCTGTTTCAGACTTGATTTATGATTGTAAATCTTGTGTTTAAACTGTTGAATGTATTTGGATTGGATGCTGTTAATGTTGGATCATTTATATAAATATATCAGTTTTGAATCCTTGTGCTCAATTAATTATTAGTGATCATTAGTGATTAATCTGTGTGCTTGGTATTCTATGATTGTCAATTGACTCTCTGAGGGCATTTACATCATCTGTTCATCTAGACTCTAAGTGTTTTCCAATAATGTTTTAGGAAATGTTAATTAACTTTGATTAAACCGAGTTTTCATCTATTAAGACTTTGGACCCAAATGATTACTTGGGGTTTTCTTCAGACTTAGAGACTTTTTAAAACTCTTAATCATTTTAAGGAGCAGTGATAGCTGAGTTTTCATCATCAAGAGACTGTTTAACCATAATTTCTTTTTAATCCAAAACATTTCTGTATTCAATTAAAACACCAAAAACATTTAATTCTCTACATTTTATATTTATTGCACCACCTGTAAACAATTGAAAACTCCCATTTTCTTTATCCAAATCATCATGTTTTTTATTACCAATCTAAACTAGTTTGTTTTCCAATAAAATGCTCATCGAGAAGAACGATTGGTTGCACCCCATACTACATTATCTGGTGCAATCACAATTTTTGATGACTCGGAAGACGACATCCCAGTTCGATCAATTGTGGATAAGGAGAGCCTTTATATGAAGAGCACTATATTAGCATTATTTGTTTTGTAGGAAATTAAATCTGAAAGCTTCATTGTTAACATGTTTTCATTGCTACCATTGCAAATTAATAGGTTGGGAAAAACATGGAAGAAAGTTACGGTTTTGGAGCAAGCAACCAAGTAATCTTTTAGGCATTGGTGGTGGCTTAATAAGTTGATGGGGGAGAGAAGAGAAGGACGAGGAAGGAGGAAAGAGAAGAAAGAAAGAAGGGTTTTTTTTTTTTGGGGTTTTAAGCTTGATTTGATAATTACAATTTGAGATCTGGTTTCTTTAAGCAATTTCTTTATTCAAGTGTCTATTTCGCGATTTCGCTATTTCAAAGGTCTTTTATTGACATTTTTTCCTTTTTTTGGGCCAAAACTATAAGAATTAATTTATTTGCATGGCTATAGGTATTTTTGCACATGCAAAAAAACATATGGTGTTTGATGTACTTTGATTAAAAGTTTATAAATAATTTTACATCTTTACCTTTTCTTTTGTTTTTTTGAGTTAAGGATATTTTGGTACTTCTATATTATTAGCTTAGGCCTTAGGGGTGTTCATGAGGCCTGCTGGCTCAGTGTACCTACTCAAGCTTGGAAAAAAAATGGCCCAACACTTTTTTTCCCCCTATTATCAAACACTCTTAGCGACATCAGTATACATATCATTGTAGGGATCACAGGAAGTATACGATCATGAGCTAGGGTGTTTGAAAGATTTTTAGGTATCAATGCCACCTTGAAAGTCACAAAAATGTGGTAATATTGCCTTGACTGTTAACCCAGTTAATTTTGATCATTAGTTTGACCAGGTTGCTTATGTGGCGTGCCACATGACATGCCAACTCATTCTCCCTTCCTCTTTTCCACCTCATCATCCCCTATTCTCTCTCTATCAACTTCTAGAAAATTCCTCTCTCTCACTCACCTTCTTTCCAATCAGCTACTTGACTCTCTTCTTCACCTTCTAATAAGCTCCATTGAAGAACAAAAGGCATGGCATCTTACACCTCTACCCAACTCTTGCCAGTCTTGGCAAAGAAGAAAACTAGAAGCACCAAAATGGCATTCCCTCCAGCTTCTCTGTCAAAGCATGTGAAGACCCAATACAGTAACTGACTGTGATGGCAACCAATTGTTTTTGTGACTTTTAAGGTGATATTGAGAGTTAAATAACTTCTGGACACCCATAAATTCTGACTGTATACTTTCAAGGCAAATTGGTACCTTATATCTATTATCATATTTAGTTAAATGAACAGTTAACATGTAATAATTAATGGTCATGACATTTTTGCAACATTTTGATAACTTTATGTATCTTTTTATACTAAAATTTATTTATGGGGGCATGAGCACGTATGGGAGGTGGGTGGGTGGTTGGTTCATGACTATATTTGCAGATTAACCTTTTACTTTATTCTCGTTTTATTTGACTTCATTTCGTTTGTTTCTTTCTCCATTGCAAACACACGGTGCCGCTTTGGAGATTAAGGGCCTATTTGAAAAATATCAGAAACTATAGTTTTGGGATCAAAATCATGGTTTGAGTAAAAAATTTATCAAACGGGAATCAACAAGTCATGATGTTGGATCAAAACCGTGGTTTCAAAAAAAGTGAATTTATTCTGCTTCTAACTCAAATTAAAGGATATGATTGTGCCTGTCAGAATAGATCTCAACTGTAATATGATTTTAATATCCTTCAATTATTTTTCTGTAAACATATTTAATCTTATATTTTTTAAATATATATACATATGTTAATTATTTACTAATTACATTATGTTATATATTATTAATTATGTTGGTAAAAAATATATTATTAAAAATTTTAGTCCTTCAAAGTAAAATATATTATAAAATCTATTTTTTATGTAATTATCATATTAATTTATACTATTTTTAGTAATTTGTACATATAAAAGTACTTCTGATAACAACTATCTAAATATTCTCATTTTATCAAAATAATTTTTTTACAAAATCTATTTTTCATAAAGTCTATTCTCCTAAAATCTATTATTCAGAAGTTATTCTTTAAATTATAGTTTAATTTCATCCAAACATCCCTCGGGCCGGGTACCAGCACGAGAAGCTGAACCCCTAGAGGGAACGACAGCGTTTTGATAGGTGCAGAATGTTGAATCGCTGGACCGAGCCAAACACGAGTTCTTCGAGCTATGTCGGAGGCGACGGGCTAGCAAAGGGCGAGTGGAGGGACTGGATGAGGGGAAGAGGCCGACGAATCTGTTCTTATTGGAGAGGAGCAGTAGCGCATTGCTCTGAACTAGAGCTGGAAAGGCCATTCTTCGAGCTGGAGTTCCATTCTTCTTGATAGAGAGGGTAAGCCGTCACCGTTGCTGTTTCAGACTTTGGAGGAACCACGATCGTCTGCGATGGAGCTTGGTTCTTGTTTAGCCGTGCTTTTTTTTTTTTTAAATTTCATCACAGCTTCACCGTCTTCACTCTTCACCAACGTTCATTCAGTTCTTCTTCCTTTCCATTTTGATTCTTGATTTCGAATTTTTCGTTGCTGTGCTGAATTTGAGTAAAGTCATGTGTGGCTAGTGTGTTTTTCAACCTAGAGGGTATATGAACTTGCTACTGGATTGACTTTTGTTTTCACTTTGATGATGCTTAATTTTGGTTACTTAATCTTGTTTGTTAATGTCTCCACGATTGAGTATGAATTTGAGCATTAGTATTTTCCTTGGCAAAAGGGAGTTTTAATTGGGCTTAGAGATTAAATAATAAAGGATTAGATTGTGATATATTCTGTAATCAGGATAGACATATAATTAATTACCCCGTGTAATTGTTGACGAGTGAGTTTGACTTGTTTTTCCTTTTGAATAATTGTGTTAACATAACATATTTAACTTGAGAGAGGTTATAAGTAGACCGATAGGCATTTCTACCTAATTATACTCTAGATTAACAAAGTTAGCATTTAAGCTATCAATTAAGTGAAAACAAGGTTTATGAAGCTAGTAAGGGATTAATGACTTTTCGTTATCCAATTTAATATTTGCATGTGTTAATTTGTTAAGTTCTTTGTTCATTTAGATTTTGAATTTCATTTCACTCAATCTAAATTCAATTTTTTTGTTCAACTTAAATGAAATGAGAAAAATTAATGCCTAATCACTAGTTGACTTAGTTTTTTGTGGGATCGAGCTTGATCTACCATTAACTATTTCCAACCCGTACACTTACAATGCCTTTCAAAATTTTGGTAGCACTACTTTGCCGTGGAAAGCTCTAGCAATTGTTAGTTGTTCTCTATGAGCTTGATATTATGTCAATTACAAATGGTTATCAAATGATTGTGGCTTCCTTTTGGCAGATAGAGATACAACAGGTAGCTCTTAAAATGTTGGCTTGCAAACCAGAAATAGGCCAAATAAATGTTAAATTTGAATTTTTCAGTTTTTTTTTTATTATGTCTGAAGTTTTTTCATTTTTTTCCACTATATCTTGTCATTTGGCCTGTGGAATCACTTCTAATTAAGATTGGTTGTGTTTTCCTCTCCTGTTTCATTTCTTATTTACTTACCGCAGGTTTTTGAAGGGGTTAAATGGGTGATCATCAAAACCATAGAATACTAATGGTTTCGGATTTTTTCTATCCCAACTTTGGTGGTGTGGAGAGCCACATATATTATCTCTCACAATGCCTGCTGAAGTTAGGTCACAAGGTGAGAGAACAGAGTTGAATTTGTGAATTCATTGTGTCCTTAGAATCTTCAAACCTTTGGCCATTGGCAGCGTTCTTTTATAATTGTCTTTGCTGCTTGAGAGTGGAAGGAATTGAGGGGAATTATGAAGATTACTAATAAAAGAAGGTTTTCTTATGAATATTCTCGTTATGGAAGCTATAAAGAAAGATGTAGCCCCATGCATGATTTCTTGGAGACTTTCTTTAGTGTAAAAGTGCAGAAAATAATTTGCCTTTTGATATGGTTTTGTATCTTATATGCTTTGTTCCATCGAATTTATTTATTTGATTTTAAATTAGCATATTGAGTTTTGGGGGAAAGCTACTTTATCCATAAATTTCAAATTATCCTAGCTTATAATGTGGATAAAGTTGGCTGTTACATGAACTTTGTAACCTATGCTTTTTCAGGTGGTGGTTGCAACACATGTGTATGGAAATCGTTCTGGGATTAGATATATGACTGGAGGCCTGAAAGTCTACTACGTACCATGGAGGCCATTCTTTATGCAAAATACACTACCAACAATGTACGGGTTACTGCCAATTATAAGGACTATCCTCATTCGAGAAAGAATAACCATGGTGCATGGACATCAAGCGTTTTCAACATTTTGTCATGAAGCTCTTGTGCATGCAAGAACCATGGGATACAAGGTTGTGTTTACAGATCATTCGCTGTATGGCTTTGCTGACATTGGAAGCATTCATATGAACAAGGTCTTGCAGTTCACCTTGGCAGATTTGAGTCAAGCCATATGTGTTTCACATACGAGCAAAGAAAATACTGTGTTGAGGTCGGGCTTGCCACCAGAAAAGGTTTTCGTTATACCTAATGCTGTTGATACTGCCATGTTCAAGCCAGCAGATGAGCGTCCCAGCATAGAGGAAATTGTGATTGTTGTTATAAGTCGATTGGTTTACCGGAAGGGTGCTGATTTGCTTGTTGAAGTTATTCCAGAAGTATGCCGCTTACATCCCAATGTGAGTTGATAAAGAGCTTGTTAATTTACCTGGCATAGGAGAACTTAGAAAATTCTTGTGGATGATTGAGGTTGATCATATTTGTTTAAAATTAATGGAGATTTAGTTTCTTTAGGCAAAGCACCTGTCCCATCCTTCTTTTAAATGAATGTGTAGAAGTAAACTAGACTTTCAGTACCTTATAAGATTTGAAGTCCATCGATTGTCTTATGAAGAATTTTTTTATAAATGGTCTATCATGGCCCTAGTCCTAGTTTCAGGATTAGTATTAATTGACGCACACAAGAAAGGGGGGAAAATAGTTCTGCTGGAATTTTTTTTTCTTTTTTCATTTTCAGTTTTTGATAGCTAACAACATGCATTAGAGCATCTTTTTCTAGAAACCTCTTATTGCTATTCTTAAGTTTTTTTTTTTTTTTTTTATCAGTGCCTTAGAGATGCTTTTATGGAGGAGCCATATTCAGTAACCCTAAAATAAATATAATGCTGTTAGGATGAATTTTAATATTTAGAATGGTTACATAGCCATAGAATTTCAAAAGCATGACACATGATTGTAGGTCCGTTTCGTTATTGGTGGGGATGGAGCAAAGCGGGTGCGGTTGGAAGAGATGAGAGAAAAGCATTCTCTTCAAGATCGAGTTGAAATGTTGGGAGCTGTGCCGCATGACCAAGTTCGTTCTGTTCTAATATCTGGACATATCTTCTTAAACAGGTATGATTTTCTGAAAAGTTCCCTCTTTTCTTTTTTGAGTTTTTCATGTTTTAAATGCTCTTTCTGATGCAAAAGTTTTATTATGATGTGTTAGTTTTAATTTGAAGTAGAAATTGAACTGTGTAATTGGAATGACTTTCATTCTTAGTATTGAGGTTCTTAGGTTTTGCTAGTTATAATGTGACTAGCCAGCAGGCGTTTTCATGTTTAGGTTCTTGCACCATCTACAAAAAATAAATCCAATTGTTCTTTTCATGCTTGTTGCTTCTAGCTCTAAATGACATCCTTAGGAAAGTAAATGCTTAAAAATCTGTCTCAGTTTGGGGAACCTACACTTTGGTGTTTTATCCATTGAGACTGTTGCAATGGCTCTTCCTTTTTATGTGTTTGAGGGTGGTAGTCTGTTTGCTTAGTTTTTAAGGCTTGGAATTTACCTAATTAGTTGGATCAACAGATATTGAGACTTAAATATTCCTGTGTTTTGGGACCATAATATTGTGTCATTGATGGCCATGGATGGCCCAACTGATCCATACCTGTTATAGAAGGAAAAAAGTAAGGGAGAGGGACGAGTTGGTAGAGGGTGGAGGCGAATGGTGATGGATTCTGACAAATATAATAGAGGGGGAGGGAGAAGGCAGGAGTGGGGTGTGATTGCTAGTGATGGGAATGTAAGAGGCAATTTTGTCACTTTATATGACGTTGGCCAATAGGAGAAACCCCACCAAAAAAGAGGCTTGGAAAGAATAGGTGGCGTGCTAACATTATCCTATGTTGCATTCCATTTTCAAAGGGCAAACATGGAGGAAGATAAATAAAAGATCTTATCTTTCTATGTCATTTTATTTTTTCAAAGAGTCATTTTGTATTTAGTGGATTATTAGGATGATTTGAACCTTTTAGATATTTTGAATTATACAAGAGATCTTCCAAACTCGTTAGTAGTTTGTTTTATTTTACTTAGGATTTAATTATTATTCTAGATATATGAGTTGCCAAATAGGAATATCAAGGATATTATTTATTATCCTGTTATTGTGTTGCGGTATCCTTGATTTCATTTAGTTAGATGGCATCTTATTGTTTATATCTTTAGAATATTTTTTAATATTTTTTTAATATGTAGAGTCCCATTGGGGTCTATTTAAAGACTAGGTTGTATTCAGTTATTGAGAAGTTATGAATGAGAATTTTCTTTTGACAAGTTGATGGAGCCCAAGCCAAATGATAAAAATCTAATGCTGAATTTGTATTAAATATTCAGATAGTTGGAAGAAAGAAATTTACGGCAGAAATAAAGCTCAGACTCCCAGACAATAAGCTATTGGAAATGATAAAATGAAGAAAGCTGAACTCACTCCAACCCAACCTCGTATTTGAGATGCCAGTGCTCTCCCTCACTAAACCACAATCTGCTTAAAACCCACATTGAGCCCTTCTGCCCAAATATATATATATATATATATCACAGAGCACTCTCTCCCCCCTTCCTTTGCATAAACTCCACACACTCCTCACTTAGGCTTGGCCCATTAATTGTGGGCCCGTATGCTTCTAGGTTGCAAAAGTTTGATCAATTCTTGTGCCTTTTAGCTAAGGATTTAGATACAAGTTCTTCTAGTGTTTTTAACTTGTCATATTTTCTATTTTCAAATCTCTATTCTGTATTTTCTGGGTTCTTTAGGCAGGTTCCTATAGGAATCAGTATAAGCTAGCCTCTCAAATGCTAGTGTGTAAGGGGGAGAGTGTTCTCTGTTCTGTTTTTCTTTTCCTCTGTGACCAACTAACTGAGGTCTTTGTTCTTATATAGATTGGAGGCTTACTGGTTATTCTGTTTTGTTCACAGTCAGTTTCACCATTTTAAACCTGGTTCGTATGGGACACTCCAAGGGATGGGCGAAACATGTTATTGACCCTGATATAGCTGATTGTTGTTGTGTTAACTAGCAGTTACTCAAATGTTTAACTAATGAATTCCCTTGTTCATAATATTTAGTATGATGCGCCTCAATTTGTATGAGAACCTAATCCAATCAAGGTGTGGTGCAATCTGCACCCATAGGCTTTTGCACTTTGAGGTTATCAGGCTCTTTTCATTCTATATGGATCGTGATTGTTAGCTGTTTGTGTTGCTTTAAAGGCTAGTCACTCTTGAACTTTCTATGTTTTTGCTCATTTACTCATGGGTCATCTAGCGTGCACAATGTGGGAAAACACACAGGTTGAGCCATGGCATAAATTCAGTTCAGACAATTCATATCTTAACCAAGTTTGGTTCTTTTACACTTTGCCATTGTAATTTTTGTGTCAAAATCATGAATAAGTATTAAGGATAAGAACTGTTGAATGATGTCCAGAAAATCGAAGCCCATGAAAGGCTCATTAGTTTGTTATTAGTTTAATGTTAATTTGTTATTTGAATATTTTGTTTCTATAAGATATTTTTAGGAATATAAAATCAGATAATATATTTGGTTTTATCTAGATTAGATTTATTTTATCTAGATTCATCATTTTTTAAATTTTGTAGTTATTTTAAATTTTCAAAGCTGAGAATTCAATAGCTCAGTAGGTTTATTCTAAATTAACATGGTATCATGAGCCATGGAATTTATTGTGCGATTGCAAGCCCATGATTGGTGTCTCACCTCTTCTCACCTATGATTGGTCGCTCACCTCTTCTCATGAGAGCCATTTTCCTGCCTCAATTATGTGTGTTAGCACCGAATTCTAATGGGCTTTGGGCCCAAAACCCTAGACTTAACCCTAGGTTTAGACCTAGTTAAGCTAGTTATCTAGTCTGCCACAATTAGAGAGCTTAATTAGGGATTTAGAATGTTTTAAATTTTGATTTCTGATTCTCCTATTATTTCGGCTAGGATCTCTCCAGATTCTTCTCTCTCTACCTCCTCATGTATTCAGTTTTTCCCTATTTATTCTGTTGTAACATTATGATGAAATCAATAAAGAATTATTATTCAAAACCCTCATGGTATCAGAGCCATGGTCATTTTTGGCTCAATACAAGAGGCTAATGATCTGCAGCTGTTAATGACTAATCCTCTAGGGTTAGCAGCAACAACCTCGGCGACCTCAGCAACTCAACCTGCGGCAGAAGCAAGCCCTGTGTCTATTACTATTCATAGACTCAATGGACAAAACTATATCCAGTGGGCTGCAAGTGTACGCTTGTTTGTAATGGGAAAGGGCAAGTTCAGCTATCTCATGGGTTCCATAGAGAAACCAGAAGTAATGGACCAGAAATATGCAGCATGGGAAGTCGAAAACTCCATGGTTCAGGCATGGCTAATCAATTCAATGACTACAAAAATTAGTTGTCATTTTTCCTTCTTCCAAACGGCTCAGGAGGTGTGGGAAGCAGCAAAAGATATGTTCACTTCTCTCAAAAACAAATAAGCAATTCTGGAACTTGAAAGTTTTCTTCACAATTTTAAGAAGAATAATCTTTCTGTAGCCCAGTATTACACTAACTTGTTTGTTAAGTGGCAACAGCTTGACATGTATGACACCTATAAGTGGAAGTGTTCAAGGAATGCTACCCTATATGAAAAAATAAAAGAAGAAAAGAGGATTTTTAAGTTCCTCTTAGGTCTGGATGCAGCATTTGAGGATGTAAGAGGCAGAATTATGAGCCTGGAAAATCTGCCCCTTTAAGAGAAGTGTTCTTCATGGTGAGGAGTGAAGAATCCAGAAAGAAACTCACCATAAATGAAGGCATAAACATGGCAGAATCTCAACCTAATGCTCTCTTCTCACGTGACACCTCTAAAGAGGAGGACAAACCTAAATCAGGAGGGTGAAGTGATCACTGTAAAAAGAAGGGCCATACACGAGAGGTATGTTGGATAGTGCATGGTAAACCTAAAAAAGGAGAGAAATAGGAGAACAAAGGTTATACTGGAACTGTTGAAAGTACTCCTGAACCAGAAACTGAATTGAATAGAGAGGAAGTTGAACTACTCAAGAAAATACTGGAGAAACACGAACTTAGAGGGAAGTCTATATGATCAGGATACATTGTTCACACAGGTAAAACAATCCTAGCTTTAAAAACTGATGTACATTGTCAGGACTTATGGATTGTAGATTCAGGAGCAACAGACCACATGACTGGTATTGTAGACTTGTTAACTAATATAAGACCTTGTACATTGAATATTCGGGAAGACTGTTAAAGTAACAGGTTTTGGGACAGCATACATAAATGAAAAATTGATCTTGTATAATGTTTTCTATGCTCCTGATTTAAATTGTAGTCTCCTCTCTGTTCGAACTATAATTGAAAGCCATAAGTGTAATGTGTATTTTTTTGCTACTGTTTGTGTTTTTAAGGATCTGGAGTGGAAGGAGACGATTGGCATGGCTAAGATCCTAAAAGGTCTCTATTACTTGAAAACCACCAAACAAAAGAACTATGCTCTATTCAGCACAAAGATCATTTCTGCTTTTACTAGTATTTTGTCTAATAAAGACTTATTGTTGTGGCATTATAGGTTAGGCTATCCCAGTTTCAATTATATGTTCAAACTTTTTCCTCGGTTCAATAAAGGTTCAGTTGACTTGTGAAATTTGCCAATTAGCCAAACACACAAGAGCATCCTATAAAAGTAAGCCTCACAAGCTATCTCAACCCTTTAACTTGATCCATCTTGACATTTGGGGGCCAGCTCGTATAACTTCCATGACAAATGCCAAGTGGTTTGTAACCTTCATAGATGAACATACAAGGGTTACCTGGGTATACCTTATGAAAGAAAAATCAGATCTTGCATCTACATTCATTTCATTTTACAAAATGGTTTCCACATAATTTCAAACCCAAATCCGAACCTTGAGGAGTGATAATGGGAGGGAATATGTGAGTAACACATTACAATCTTACCTGAGAGACCATGGGATTCTTCATCAAACCAGTTGTGTCAATACCCCACAGCAAAACGGTAGCGCATAACGCAAAAATAGACACCTACTTGACATTA